AAAATATTCCCTTTAGTTGGAGCAATTGTAGCATTGTTCCGGTTATGTAAAACACAACCCTCCTGGTCGTACGAGGTATCCAAGTGGCTCATGTGGTTTGAATGATATTCTTATGCATATCGTTTAAATCACCTACGCTGTCGTTATGACCATAACGACTATTGTTCTCACTACCATGGTTGCTCATTGTATTAGACCTGTAAATCAGCCAACAACGACATAAAATAACAATTTACTATAACTAAACAAATTTACAAACTAACTTCCAAAATAGAATTCTCAACTACCATTCCTCGAGAGAGGTGTCATTATTTATAACAACCAAATTTCCCCCTTAAAACCAATTAAAAGGGACACAGGTTGTCGTCAATTAAAATATCCAACAAATAGTCGGGGTTGAATCCTACATAGTATGGTATATTGTAGAGAATTCCTACCAAGAAATTTGGAGTGTAAATTCATTTATTTTCAATAGTAAGATCAAGTGGGTGGATGATTCCACCAAATTTAATAAATGATATGGTTATCAATTGTTACAATTAAACTAAAAAGATTAAGAATTCAAGAATCAACAAGCAATCTACGGATGCAGGGACTGAAAATTGATTTCACATAGGGGTAATTTTGTTGCTCTGTAGTGATGAACGTTTATGAATAGGCTAGGTCATCGTCAATGACGCTAATCATCTTTTGATATGAAATCATCTATGCATAGAATCTCATTTCAGTCTCTTCTATATGCCAATCTAAACAACCCAATACCTTACTCAATCTAAACATCCCAATAGGGAAAGTAGATCAAACCCATTACCTATATTTTCAAGAAATTTATGTCAAATCTAAATTGCTAATATTTCACTAAATCCCACTCTAATCAATCTCTTTGGAGAATTGATAAGTCCACATTTTGGACTCATTTAGGGATTTATTTTAATAGATTTAGTGTCCTCAAATGCATATTTTGTTCCAAAAATTGATGTAAATCCTTGAATTTCAAGTATTTAGATTGAGGAACAAAGCATGGACACAAATAAGCAAAATGGAACAAGGCAGCTGACAGAACGAAGAAAAAAAGGCTTGAGGATCGCCTAAACCATTGGGCGAGTCGCCGAATGGCCTTGACCTCGCCTAATGTTCCAATGTGCCAAGCCCTGAAGGAGAAAATCAAGTCGGCTATAAAAGAGAGTAGTCGACTAGTCGCCGAACAGTTCCGCGATGCAATGCCTTATCGCCCAAAGTTACAGAACTTAAAGGATGCTGAAGGCAAAAGAAAAATGATGATACAAATGACCAAAGGGCGGATCACCGATTGGATCGGCGATCCGACTAACTGCACCGATTGGACCTTCGCAACACTTTTTTTGACAACTATGAATACTTGTTTAAATTTTTAGTTTAGTATGCAAGTTTAGAATTTCAAGTTTATTATTCAGTTTTAGAACTTAGAACTATTTTTGGGAGACAGTTTTCCTTAGCTTTGAAGATTTGAAAATTTCCATTTCTAAGAGATTGGAAGTGGGTGTTGAAGATTCTTCATCTTAGACATTTGTAAATACAATATTAATCGTACCCAGTTGATGAAAACACTTTTCGGTATCGATTTCTATTTTTTTACTATGTCTAGCTAAAACCCCAATTCTTGGGGTGTGATTATGGGTTTATTTAACTGTTGGGTATTGCTAATTGATAGTTTATTTAATGTTTAAAAGTGATTTCGTTCAGTAATTGTGGTTGATTTTAATGGATTGTAGTTGTAAATACAATCTTAACTTTGTGTTTTTGGCTTGCTCTCGAGAGAGGTTTTGAAACCAAAATTACTGAATCGATGGTCTATGGGTATTGGGTTGTCACGGGTTCAGCTCGAGAGAGTGAATCCTAAACCCTTTTCCACACATTCAGCTCGAGAGAGTGAATAGACTAAAGCGAAGATTGTACTTCATTGCGGCTTATTGGTGTTTGAGAGAAACTAATTTTATTCGGGGTAAATTGTTCGAGACAAAGATTATCCCCACTAAAGTCTAACTTATTCACTAATTTGCAGTGGTTTACTATTAATTTCATTTACCCGGTTGTTTACCTTGGCCCATAATCCTATCACATCCCAAGAATCATGTCTCCATATTAATATTTTCATATTATTTTCTGTCTTTAATTGATAATTGACTACAAACCCCCCTTTTTGATATTTGACACTTGTGTCAACATTTAATTTATCATGTTTTCTTCGTAAATGTTTTTACCTATGATTGACTTGAGCATGTTTGTGCTTTTCTATTGATTCTCAATTACGAACCGCTCCCTTGGTACTCGAGCCCAACTCACTAGTTGGGTTATATTACTACTCACGATCGTTGGCACTTAGTATTAGATGAAGTGTCCTAATACGTGAAATTAAAATGGTCTTTTGTGTGATTTTTTGTGAATATTGGTGTTCTATTTATATATTTGGGTTTTGAGTTAAATATGTATTATTCACTGCTTTTTGGGGAAGGTTTGAGCTTATAGCTCCATGTTTATAATTGTAAATGATTTTTGACCCTTCCAAAAAAAAATTGCCACCTCTTGTTTGTGTTGAATGTGGTTGTTCTTTTGCAAATTTGAGTATCGGTTTTGATCAATACCGATGACTTGAATAGTGCTTATAATCGAACAAACATGAATGTGCAGCTAAGATGAGGAAAAATGAAGTTTCATAGTCAATATGTGAACTATTTGGATCTCATTATGACTAGCCAAGTACCTGATTGAGTCTATTGTGATGAGCTTTGCACACTAGCGAAAGTGTGGAGTCTTGTTTTCACATTGGTGTCGATGCCTTGTGTGATGAGCTTACCGTGAACCATGTATGATGACACCTAGAATTTGCCCCATTAGTCCGGTTAACTAAGTGAGGCAATTTCTTGAGATGATCTTAGGCAAAAGAGTGTGAACCAATTTGACATTATACCTCTTTTGTGGCCTACCTTGTGAGTGTGTAAACCCCGCTTGAGCTCCCTTGAGCCTTACCCTTTTCTTGGAAGAAACTTGATGAAAACATAACCTTTCTTGATCCATTAACTATAATCCTCATAATTTGTGGCCTATTTGAATAGCCAACTTAGGCCAAAAGCCTAAGTTGGGGATGTGGTCAAAAGAAAAGGCAAATCAAGAAAATGCAAAGAAGTCCCGTGTGCCCATGTTTAGAGAAAATGGAACCCCTCCATATAAAAAAAATGAAAAAGAAGAAAAGAATGAAAAAGAAAAAGAAAGACAAAATTGTGGAATAAAGTTTTGAAAATACAAAGAAAATGTGATTTCCAACAATCCATGGAAGATGTGTGGTGAAAAGAGAAGGTAAATCAAGACATGCAAGAAAATCCCCTTTTACCCATGTTTTGAGAAAAATGGAACCCCTCCATATATATATAAAAAAAAGTGAAAAAGAAGAAAAGAATGAAAAAGAAAAAGAAAGACAAAATTGTGGAATAAAGTTTTGAAAATACAAAGAAAATGTGATTTCCAACAATCCATGGAAGATGAATAAGAGGTGACTTTTGAGCTTGAATGAAAATGATGACGAAAAGGAAAGAAGGTGCTGTTCACATCACATTTCATGAGGATTTCAGCCTATGAACCTAAATGACAATACCTTTGCACTCAGCCCCATTACAAACCTTGGAAACACATTTTATTTTTATTTTGAATGAGCTGAAACAAAAGTCGATTGGAAAATTAGGGCAAGTTTGTGGGTGAAAATCATACATTGTGTTCATATTTGTGAGTGTGAGCGTTGCATTTGATTTTAGAACTTTAAATTGTTGAATCATTGTGTGTGAATATGGAATCATTCTTTGTTTGAGGGAATTTGATCAATTTTGTTGAGCTTGAACTTGCATTAGAAGCAAGTGATGTGAGCTTGAGATTCTTTGGTAATGGTGAGTCACAACTTGAATCTTTGAGTGCACAATTGATCCTTGCATGAGTAAGTTGAGTCTTTTTGTGTGCATTCATGATTGAGTCTTGTGAACCACTATTTGAGACATCCTTTTGAACTGCTGAAATTGAGTTTTACTTGTGGACAAATAAAAGTTTAAGTTGGGAGTGTTGAAGAATCCACGATTTGGACTCATTTAGGGTTTTATTTTAATAGATTTAGTGTCCTCAAATGCATATTTTGTGCCAATAACTGATGTAAATCCTTGAATTCCAGGTATTTAGATTAAGGAACAAAGCATGGACACAAATAAGCAAAAAGGAACAAGGCAGCTGAAAGAACGGAGAAAAGAAGGCCTGAGGATCGCCTAAACCATTGGACGAGTCACCGAATGGACTTGACCTCGCCTAATGTTCCAGTGTGCCAAGCCCTGAAGGAGAAAATCAAGTCGGCGATAGAAGAGAGTAGTCAGCGAGTTACCGAACAGTTCCGCGATGCAGTGCCTTATCGCCCAAAGTTACAAAACTTCAAGGATGTTGAAGGCAAAAGCAAAACGGCGATACAAATGACCAAAGGGCCAATCGCTGACTGGATCGGTGATCCCGACTAACTTCGCCGATTGGACCTTCGCAACACATTTTTTTACAACTATAAATACTTGTTTAAATTTTTAATTTAGTATGCTATTTTATAATATCAAGTTTATTATTACTAAGTTTTAGAACTTAGAACTGCAATAGAGTCTTAATCTCACCATTTTTATGTGTCAAGAATTCGATGTAACACTTCGACCGTGCAGGACTATAGTTCTTTTTTATTGAATAAAAGCAAACTATACCCTTGCTACAACAACGTATACTACATAATATCATTGTAGGAATACATTTTTACCGATTCACCCAATTCACCGTATAAATGGGTGAATCGGTCTATCTTGTTTGCTTTTGTTATATTAGTGAACATTGAGGGCAAATGAGCTTCATTATTTTCTCTACATCAATCATTTTTATAGCATGCAATATTGCAAATTTTATAGTGACTGCTTGAGTATTATTCTATAGTTCTTGTTAGATTTTGATCAGGAAATATGACAAGGGGAAGAGGCATTAAACGCTGTTGGGGAGGCCGTGGGGGCATAACTAACAAAGGAGGAAGAGGCTGCAAGATGACACTAGGCACTTCTCAAAAGGATGTTAGTGAATCATCAATTCCTACATCTCAACAAGTTGGTTTAAACCAGTGTATTGTCTCATCACATGAAAGTAGTTCTCAACAGATTGTAAATACATCTCAAGAAGCCAATGCTCAACAAATAACTATTCCTGAAAATGTTGGTGGTCAACAAGAAGCTTATACTTCTTTGGATGTTGGACGACAAGAAACACCTTTCTCTCAGAATGTTGGTGCTCAACAAGAAACTCCAACTCAAGATGTTTCTCCTGAACAAACACCCGCATCTTTTGAAAGGAGTAATCCACAGGTCAGACAAGATACACTTGGTGGCATGAAATCCTTAAGAGTAAATGGAGATACGTAAGTAATACAAAATTATATAAGTAATGGCTAAATATGTTTTCATTTAATAATCTTCTCATAATGTATTGTATTAATTATTTTGTAGATTCTGCCCACATGAGGCTATTCGGGATGTGGTGTTATCCTTTAAAAAAAGCTTCTCTGGACCATGGCATTGTTGGAGCAAAGTTCCAGAGCATGTACGAGACAAATGGTTTAATGATTTTGAGGTATCTATACCTGAACAAGAATCTGCGAATTTAACTTAAGCGTTAGATTTTTCGCATTACTAAATTCTAAAAATAAAAAAGGTATGTATGCACGCATGTGAGAAGACACTAATCGATACATAAATCTCGTAGTATACTTGTTAATGGGAAACTTATTTTGTCTATAAAGGAGATTCCTCCATTTGGCATGATGTTTTCTTTTTGTATGGAGTTGGAGGATGATTTCTCGAGCTTAATGTTTTTTTTCTTGCTGGTGTTGTTGAAGTGATCTAGCATTTTGCTAAGTGTAAACATGATATATGCAATCATTGAACAACGATTCTAGTACCTGTGACTCATATTTCCTTTATTTCACCCTGTACGACAACCATTAGGTATCAGCCTTCCATTTTATTATTTGTCTCTGTATTTCCAGCAAATCAATTGGTATCTTCCACAACTTTCTTGCATAACTACATTTTAATGAATAGATTATGAAAGATTCCACTTCTCTTGTGTGACATTGTGCGCAATCTAGTGGCACATGTATTCACCACCGCTCTAATTTATATACCGTAGCTAATCTTTCATGTAATGCTATTCATATAATGTACTGGTGTTTTTCGGTAGTATCTCGTTGATAATTATCAGACTCTTCCAGATCACTTTCTAGAATTCTGACATAAAACATAAGTTTCTTTTATATTGTGCTTTCCTTTTCAGGCTAACTGCTTCAGATCAGAGATCAATGAGTAGTGTGTTATGATTGAATCAAATTTTACCTTCGAAAATCTCTCACATGCCAGCAAGTTTTTTTAGGAGTCTTCATTATGCATATATCTTATCTCTTTATGTAGAAGTCGTGTAGCCATTTGGTTTTTTTTTAAGGATACAACCCATAGAAGCTTAGCAGCTTTGTTACACACTTGGCAATCAATTATATTAAAGCTCCCTACACTTCTCGGTTTACACAATGTCTCCTAAGTTTCCAAGGCCGACCTTCTTGATAACCAGTTATTTTCTTAACTAGATTGTGCGTCTCAACTTGAGAAACAGTACTAAATTAATTATTTAATTTATATTTGCAGAATAATTATTCTTTTTCTGGTGAAGATAAAGTACTTATTCGAAAAACTTTTAATCGGGTGGGTAGTGAAAGATTGAGTGACAGTTTGGGAAGAGCAAAGAGAACATTTTCAAGAACAAAGAAAACACCGAAGTGGATTGCTCAAGTCCACTGGGACGGTTTGATGCAATATTGGAACTCTGACGGTTTTAAGAAAATATTAGCAATCAACTCAATGAATAGAATGTAATCTAATAACGGAGAAGGTCCTTCGTTACATACAGGAGGATCAGCTGCCTTTGTTGAGTACAGAAGAAGACATGTAAGTTATTCTTTATTTTTGTTTAGTATAATTAATATTAATCTTATGTTATACTATGATTTATGTTGAAAATTAACAATATATTTATGGTTGTAGAAGGAACTAACTAGAAAAGAGCTTCGAAACGATGAATTATTTCAAAGGACTCACAAAACCAAAAACGAAAAGAAGTGGATCTGTGGAAAGTCAGAAAGGATGTGGGTATGTTTTTATATCATTTCGTCAGTGATATTTATTCTGAAAGTTATTTTTGTTTAAATTTAAATCCATGTGAATTGTTTCTAAGAAGAAAAAAGATATTGCTCTTTTACTGATAATTTTTGTTTTTCTTTAATTTTTGGGCATAATGCTAGGAGAATGATTTCACATTTGGAAGAACTTTAAGTATATTTGGTTGTTAGGTTTGGTGTTAGGTGCACTTGTTTAAGGGTGCACTTAGTACCCATCAATATAATTGTTCATGTAGGAGAAAGTAGGTGCTTCACAACCTATACATCACTACAGAATTGTTCCATTCATTGGTCTGTTTCGCTATTTCTGGTGCCTCTAATACAATTACTGGTCGTCCATCAATAATCTAGCAGGGGAGAATAGAAATAACCACAAATACACCAAGGTTCATTGATGATAAAACCTATTCTAAGTAATTCTTGCCAAAAGTTTCTCCTTTCCTCTCTACAATTTTTGGCATAGATCACTGTTAGCAGACAATAAAAATTGGAACACTTACTTGCTACCTTTATATGCATAAAATGATCATGTACTTCTTCCATCAGAATAGTTAGTTCACCAGGCATCCATAAAATCCAGATTCTACTATTTTCGGCTAATGAGAAGTTATAGATGCATAAATTGATCATGTTCTACTTCTATCAGAATACTCTTTTCACCAGGCTTCCATAAAATTCAGATTCTCCTATTTTAGTCTAATGATTAGTTATGTGGATAACTCCAGCCTCTAGTTTTCATCTCCACACATTTAGAGAACTTATGTTAGTTCACCGTTGTTTCTAGTATTCCAGCGAAAGAAATTTTGTGTTTTACCAAATAACTTGTCATCTCTTTTAGTTTGAAGGGGCTATTCATTCCAATTACGTTCCAGATTAACCAGTTCATTAAAGATACAGTTGTACCCTCCCATCAGGAGGTTTCTAAGTTTATCTTCTTTCCATATTTCCCCGAGACAGTGGAAAAAAAACATTAGCCATCTTCAGTGTTGTCCATATTTTAGTTTCCTGTAATAGGTACCTAACTGCACCAACTCTGTGTATGATAAATCACTTTGCGTGTTATCCACACCAATTGAAGTGATTATCCTTTTTGGAATGTCACAACACTCTTCTTGTAACTTTGTTTGCTTTTCCTCCCTTTGTTTGTGATGTTGTATGCTCATTGCTTTGTGAGGTTCCTTATTTTGATCGTGCTTGTTCATATCATGTGTACCATCTACATGTGGAGGTGGCATGTATCTTTGGTTAGCCCTGGTCTAGTGATTCACCTATGCACTTGATTTCTCCTGCCTCGTCTTAGCGAAACAATTTCATGTTGACCCCTCCTAATTGCAGGTTGATTGTGTATACCATCATTAAAGCTGCATATATGACCAATCTTGTACATTTCTTACATAATATGGGTTTCCAGTCATAGTTAATATTTTGAACAAACGTCCTTCCTGTAGGATCAACAATTTCAACCTCTTCTGGCAAACCCTGTGTTACATTAATTTTCACTAAGACTCATGATATAGGATACTCCCCTTACTTGCTACCTTTATATGCGTAAAATGATCATGCACTTCTTCCATCAGAATAGTTATTTTACCAGGCATCCATAAAATCCAGATTCAGGGCAAGTGAACAGGACTTCATCTCTGTCGTTTTTGTTTTGGAATTTCACTATGTAGCAGCCTGCATCATGGTAATATAACTCAGGTACAAAAACAAAATTTTAGAACCCATTAATATAATTGTTCATGTAGGAGAAAGTAGGTACTTCACAACCTATACATCACTAGAGCATTATTCCATTCATCGGTCTGTATCGCTATTTCTAGTGCCTCTAATACAATTACTGGTCGTCCATTAATTATCTTCGGCGGGTTATAGGTTAAAGGCATACCAGTGGTGTAAGTATAGTTCAACATGAACAGGTTGTTCCAAACGTCTTCCCATCTGTATATTTCTTATTGAACTCATTGTATTATGTTTCTGCCTGACTCTCATTCCACCTTACGGTTTGTATAAGGAACCTATAAGGTTTCAATAGAGCATTTAGGAAAGATGTTCTTGTATTAGTTCAATACTAGCAAACAATCATTCCAAGAACCCATCAAGCTTTTATAAAATTGAAGTATCTCTTTCTCAATTTCATCATATTTAAGGAGCTGTCTACTATCAAGACTGGTTAAAATAGAAATATTATCTATGTTGGCTCTAGTTTACACACAGGTAATGAACTACTTATTGTTGTTGTATCCTGCTACTTCGAGCCAGTGAGCCTTAGATTTCTGTTTCAACACCTTCTCCTGGAGAAAAGACCATTTTTTATGTTCAACTATAACTTCTTTTTCTATGTCAAATACAGTGTTGGATACACTAGTCCCCACATGCTGAGTGATCTGTTTTTGGATGGATTCTAACTTCTCTCTTGCTTCAGCGACTCTATTGTTCAAGCTCCCCATTTCCTATGTCAATAACCTCTACAGAGGTTCTTTACACAACTTCATTTTTTGCAATACACATCTCCTCCTTTTACATTTTGTTTCCAAATGGTCGTACCAATATTTGAAAAGCTCTCATGTTTAGTCAGTATGTTCAGAAATCTGAAAGGTTTGTGGGGTCCACTATCTGCACTGTAATGCTCAATAAGAATCAGTGAGTGATCAGAAAAATTATTCTTCTTGAATTAAGCTGTTAGAGTTCTGTGTTATATACCATCCAAGAATCATTACAAAGTGCCCTGTCAATTATACTCTATATGTCACAATTCGTCCAGGTCTACCTTCTTCCAATATATTTCATACCTGTAAGATTTAATACATTAATTACTTGTTGAAAGTCTTTTGATTTAGATTCACTTACATGTTGGCCCCTCATTCATTCCAAATCTAGTAGGGGAGAATAGAAATCTCCACAAATACACCAAGGTTCAGAGATGATAGAACCTATTCTAAGTAATTCTGGCCATAAGTTTCTCCTTTCCTCTCTACAATTTTTGGCATAGATTACTGTTAGCAGACAATAAAAATTGGAACCCTTACTTGCTACCTTTATATGCGTAAAATGATCATGCACTTCTTCCATCAGAATAGTTATTTTACCAGGCATCCATAAAATCCAGATTCAGGGCAAGTGAACAGGACTTCATCTCTATCGTTTTGGTTTTGGAATTTCACTATGTAGCAGCCTGCATTGTGGTAATATAACTCAGGTACAGAAACAAAGTTGTAGTACCCATCAATATAATTGTTCATGTAGGAGAAAGTAGGTGCTTCACAACGTATACATTACTAGAGCATTATTTCATACATTGATCTGTTTCGCTATTTCTGGTGCCTTTAATACAATTACTGGTCGTCCATCAATTATCTTCGTTGGGTTATAGGTTAAAGGCATACTAGTGGTGGAAGTAAAGTTCAACATGAACAGGTTATTCCAAACATCTTCCCATTTA